TGCTCTGTCCTGTGCCAATCACACTGTCTCTGACACTCCCATCCCAATTATCCCAGTCACTGAATCAATCCACCTCATAGAGGGCCTTCCCCTCCAAAGAGTTACAAAAAAAATCCAAAAATCCATCAACAGCCAAATGGCTAAAGAAATTATATTCACACAATGGCATAATTGGTATCACTTAAAAAAACAAACAACAAAATCAAGACTTTATGAAATGTTGTAAAACAGAGATGAATCTTGACCAAATTATGCTGAGAGGCATATGGATCATGAATTGATTTCTCATACTGTGTTGTATTTAAAATTCTAATATCTAAAATCAAGGAAAAATATGGTACAAGATCTCTAATACAAAAAGGAAAAGTTTACAGACAGAATCAATTTTGAGGGCTTATCAGGGATGAGAAAGGCAGGAAAGAAGTTACACAATAATATTAGGTGATTTGATTATTTGATTGGAGTGAAAAGAAACACAATATACAATAAGGATCTTATTGTTGTCATTGTTGTTGTGTTAACATCGAGTGGGAACTGGCCCATAGCTGACCCTGGCGGGTTTTCAGAGGCTAGAGTTGCTATAATCAAGGATGCTTTAGGCAGAATACTAAATGATCCAGGAAGTATTAAAAGAAGATGGAAGGAATATACTGAGTCATTGTATCGAAAGGAATTGACAGATACAGAAGAATTTAATGAAATAACATTTGAGCAAGAGCCTATGGTGATGAAGGAAAAAGTTCAAGCTGCTTTGAAGGAAATAGCAAAAAATAAGGCCCCAGGAATAGATTGTATACCAATTGAAGTATTTCAGCTAACAGATGCTGCCCTGGACGTGCTCACCAAGTTGTGCCAAGAAATCTGGAGAACAACCACTTGGCCAACTGACTGGAAGAGATCTATATTTGTTCCCATTCCAAAGAAGGGTGACCCAACTGAGTGTGGAAACTACAGAACAATATCATTGATTTCACATGCAAGCAAGATTCTACTGAAGATTATCCAAAAACGACTGGAACAGCACATCAGCAGAGAACTGCCAGAAGTCCAGGCTGGGTTTAGAAGGGGTCGTGGTACTAGGGATATTGTAGCTGATGTTAGATGCATCTTAGCTGAAAGCAGAGAATACCAGAAGAATGTCTATCTGTGTTTCACTGATTATGCAAAGGCGTTTGACTGTGTGGATCATAACAAACTGTGGCTGACTCTGAGAAGAATGGGAATCCCAGAACATTTAATCATGCTAATGCGAAATCTATACTTGGACGAAGAGGCAGTCGTCAGAACAGAGCAGGGTAACACTGCATGGTTCAAAATTGGGAAGGGTGTACGCCAGGTATGTGTCCTATCTCCATACATTTTCAACCTGTATGCAGAGCAGATTATCTGAGAGGCTGGGCTCTATGAGGAGGAGTGTGGCGTCAGGAAAGGTGGAAGATCTATTAACAACCTGCGTTATGCAGATGACACAACTCTGCTTGCTGAAACTGAGGAGGACCTCATGCACTTGCTGCAGAGGGTCAAGAATTGCAGCCTTCAGTATGGACTGAGGCTCAATGTCAAGAAGACAAAGATTCTCACCACTGGACCAATTGGTAGCATCAGGATGGATGGCGAAGAGGTTGAGATTGTTCACAGCTTCAGTTTGCTCGGCTCCACGGTCAACACTCTTGGCTCCAGTAGCCAGGAAATAAAAAAACATATCGCAATGGGAAAGTCTGCTGTTAGGGACGACCTCTCTAAAGTGCTCAAGAGCAATGGTGTCTCTCTGGACACTAAGGTGTGTGTAATACAGGCCATGGTCTTTACAATCACTTGTTATGCATCAGAGAATTGGACAATGACTAGGGAGGATAGAAGGAGAATTGATGCCTTTGAGCTGTGGTGCTAGAGAAGAGTATTGAATGTACCATGGACTGCAAAGAAAACAAACAGATTCATCCTGGAGAGGTTTAAATCAGGCTACTCCTTGGAGGCAAAGATTCTGGGGCTTCGTCTGACATACTCTGGACATGTTGTAAGGAGAGACAGGTCCTTGGAGAGGGACATCATGCTTGGTAGGGTGGAGAAACAACGCAGGAGGGGAAGACCCTCTATGAGATGGTTTGATTCAGTGACTGGGGTAATCGGGTGGGTGTGTCAGAGGTAATGCGATTGGCACAGGACAGAGCAGAGTTTAGGGCTGTTGTACATAGGGTCGCTATGAGTCGCAAACAACTCGACGGCACAGAACAACAACAACAATTGCACAGGAGGACATGGCCAATCCTTTTCCCACAGAGCAGCTGGCAGATTCAAACCTCGTGCCTCTCAGATTGCAGTATAGATTCTTACGACTAGGCTGTAAGAGCTTCCATGGTCTATTTAGACAACCATAATAAATTACATTAATCATCTATAATTAATGTTATGTCTATGAATGACTAAATTACAACAAATTAGTTGCAAGATTTCATATAAACGAAAATAAAAGTAAGAAAAAATTAGAATAAAAACCAAACAGAATGAGGAAAATAGAAGCTGATTAGAATGTATTTCAGGCATTGTGGGAACTGTAATGGGATAGAACAAAATACGCATGAATTGGGGGAAAACCCCAAACGTGCTTTGTAAACTTTTGCTCAAATTACAATTAATAGATATTTTAAAAATTCTAATTTCTAAACAATGGTTCCTGTAGAGGAACCATTCATCAGAAAACATCCAAAAAACTGATTAATGCTGAAAAAAATAGCAGTTTTAGACTTAAATAGTCTGCCAACATAAAGCACAATGGTGGAAAGAGATTCACACAGCATTGAGAAACTTTAGAAAATAGAAATCAAAGATGCTTAAAAATTGTCCAGTGAGAGGAAATAACAAACACATAGTGAGACAGGTCACAGGAAATGGGGAGCTGTGGACTTCACAACAAGGGAAGTGGAAACGCTAACTCAATGAATGCTAATAAAACACATGTGCTTTACTGACCACTGTGAGGGGTCTCACAGGGCTGGAAACCACTTTCAAATAGCTGAGGTGCTGTTGGCAGGTTCTTACGTAAAAAGATATAGGCAAATGGACATGTAGTCTTAGGAATGCACCATTACAGAATTTACCATTTGCCCTTGCAGACTGGAAATATTCTTTACACTATTTCTGAGAAAGTGGCTATACTCTGACACACAGCCCAAGGTGAGGCGACAGCATGGCCTACAGGGAACAGGGTCTGGCCCCGCTACTGTACCTTCTCCATAAACTCTCTTCCTCCAACACACTTAGCTGCTGTTTCTGTGTGCTGGCCTGTCAAACTTCTTCAAGGACAGCTGACATTCTGGAGTCGGAACACCCAGGCAAACCTGACTATATTCTTACCTAGCACTGGTTCTGAAAACAAAACATGAACATCTGAAATTGCAGCTCTCCCTCAGGGTGGGCTGCGCTGTACCCTGGGATCAGGTGGGAGCAGGATTTCTCCCAACAGAAACATCAGCAGCTTTGACTTACTCAAAGTTGGATATGACCAACACAGGACAGAGTGATGTCAGTAAGTCTACATTGCTGGGAGACCTACTCACGCTGAGATTATTGTTCTTTTCATTATATTTTACTATTGTTATATGCCACTGAGCTGGAACCAACTTTAAGCCGCCCCTACAAAAGATTTTCAGATGCTGTAAACTGCACAGAAGGACAATGTCCATTTTTCCCCCCACAGAGCAGATGGTAGATTTGAACTGCCTGCCTTTGTGTTGACAGGGCAACTCCTTAACTCTAGGCTACCAGAGCTCCAATTATATGTTATTTCCTATATACTCTCTGTATGTGTAATGCAACTAAAAATAAGGAAATTTTTAAATACATCTAGTCCTTTGTTCATAGAATAGGTTCTTGTCACTATGCATGTGAAATAGGGAATTTTCAAAACACAAACAGACAAAAACTCTCAAAGTGAACGCATGCTACCACCACTCCTCATCACAGCTGAATTGGAACTGACTGACCGCTGACCCTCCGGCAGGTCTCCAGATGCTATAAATTGCATGCAAGGAGATTGCTCAGCTTTCTCCCGAGAAGCAGCTCTGGATTTTAATCACGTGCTTGTGGAGGTTAGCAGTATGATGCTTTACCCACTAGGCCATAAAAGCTAGTAAAAATGCAAAGTATTTTCTGGATAGGTCAGATACCTGGGGTCCCAGCCCAGTCTTAATAAATATCTTCCTTGAGTCCTTACTGCTTTTAGTATTTGATATCATAAATGCTAAAAAATAATGCCATTATAAAAGAACAATGACTTGAAAACAAGTAAAACTTGGCACTCTTTAAAAACACTGTCAGTAAAATCTTCTAGTCTAACATCATGTAACATAAGCCACACTTTACATAGTGATAATAAGGATGGTTCTTGAGAAATACGGACAGTAAAAATGGTTTAAGGCAAATGTTAAATTTCAGCTAAAATTTAGCATTTTATTAGCTTTACATTTTCAAGGCACTCTCATAGTATAGTGCATCACTTGGTGAACTGCTAACCAAAAGTTTAGTGGTTCGAATCCATCAACTAATTCTAGTGAGAAAGATAGGCAATACTATCCTGTAAAGATGAATAATCTTGGGAACTCAGTGAAGGATCAGAAATGATTTGATGGCACTGAGTTTTGTGGTTTGATTTGGTTTTTTATCTTTTAATTAAAAAAGATTTTCAGAGCTTCATTTAATTGCTGATTTTATTATTGATTTTAATAGATGTTGTTATGCGGTCAAGTCAAAACAAACTCATTGTCCAGCGTGTTTCCAGAGGCTGTAGGTTACACAGGAGGAGACTGCCCATCTTTTTCCCATGGAGCAGCTGGTGGATTTGAATCATAATACGCCTTTGAGTTGTCAGCACAGCTCCTTACCCACAAGGCCACCAGAGTTCAAACAAAGCTCCAATTCAATTAGGATAGAATCATAAAATCTAAAACAAAATGCAGCAGTAAGTGTGTGAGGTTTACCTTGAAGTCCATTAAGGATAGATGTAATCTCTATGGACTTAATGTGAGCACTGTCAGAGATCTTGGCATCAGTAAGATCCAGTTTAGAGATCATTTCAGGTGATGAATTTGTCTGAAACGGTGGTTTTGACAAGCGTCGAAGTTTGCAGTTTTTGGGAGAATATTTTTCATCTTTGTCTTTTTCTTTGTCTAATTTATTCTAGGTTGGGGGGAAAAAAATCACATTACCCAAAAGTCATCATCATGTTTTTATTAAAACTTTTAACACAGTATTTTGCAACATATTATTAAATATTTAACATTAAAGAAAAAAACATAAAGATCTTCTATATACCAAAACCGTCAAGGAAAATTTTTAAAAATTGTTTAGCCAAAATATTTTTGTATGTATCATGATACATTTTAATACTGGCAGTTAGAAATCAGACATATTAGGAAGTCTACAAACTACTAATAATTGGTATTACAGTCTTTAAAGTTCAATCATAAGAGGCTGAATTAAATATTTATATATAGAAACACTGAGTAGTTTTAAAAGTTGTGATATTCATTTTATGAAAGGTGGGTTGGTAAAGACAAATACTGTCAGAGAATTTATGTGAAAGCTTAATAACGAGTAAGGAGGGCCAAAGAAGAATCCATGCCTTTGAACTGCAATTGTGGTGCTGGTAAAGAATATAAAATACATTTATCAGGGAGCTCTGGTAGCCTAGTGGCAAAAGCTGCACTGCAGTCTCAGAGGTACATGGTTTGAATCGACCAGATGCTCTGCTGGAGAAGGAGGGGCAATCTCCTCCTATACCAGTCAGATCTGATTTGATGGTACACACATAAAAATAATAAAATGAAATTAGAAGTAAAATAAAATATAAAATGTATCATGAAATGCTCAAAGAACAAACAAATCCATCTTGGAAGAAGGGCAGCCAGAGTGTTCATTTCACACAGTCTTGATATGTTAACAGGAGGACTGGTCCCTGGAAAGGACACCATGTTTAGAAAAGCAAAGGGTCCATAAAAGAGAGGAATAGGAAGACTCTCAATGAGATATAGTGGCACAGTGACTGCAACGATGAGCTCAGTGCAGCATAGGCTGTGAGGATGGTGAAGGACACAGGGTCTCACTGAATAGTCTCACATTTTCATAGCATTTCCAAGGATGATACCACTCTGAATGCAAGACAGAGATAGAATGGATTCCTTCAGATAGTGGTTTGCAGAATGTGGGCCCGGGACTAGTGTCAGCAGTGTCTTCTGATAAAGTGTTGGGTATGCAAATTCCTAAACCCGAACTCCATCCCACACAGGGAGGAACTCTGGAGATGGCACCCAGCACTCTGCATGGCGGGCAGTTAGGATTACTTTCACAGAGCTGGCTCAGTACGCTTACACAGTATACAAACTATAAGCTCTCAGCAAAGTTTCATACTCTCTCCTGTTGGGGCCTTTTACCACTTCCTGACTTTATTCCAAATGTCACAATCCACCATGCAGACCAAAGGCAGAAACCGTCTATTTCAGTTCCAATGTGACTGTAATGCCTGTTAATGGACATTCTCTAAAACTATGGCTCTTGAGATAGAGGGTTTAGGGATGGCGAGGGGAATCTCAGAAAATGACCTGGAAAAGACTTTCCAAAATTCACATGTCCCTTTCCTTATGTGCAGGTATGTTAATATACCTAGGGCAAATAAGAGACACTGACTAGAGATGTAAGTATTTACAAAGCTCTCTGATAGTCTAACATTGCTCCTTCCATTTCATTTTATCCTTTAAACCTCACAAGGGCTGCTTCAAAACTTACACAATTAAAACAGGCTTTTTCAGGGCCACAAAATGTTCTTCCAGTTGCTTAAAAACCAATGACAAACATAGCAAAAAAGGCAAAGAGTTTTAAATCTAAAAGGAAGTTTGAGAAGGTCTGAGATTAAAATTAAAAGGAAGTTTTAGAAGGCCTGAGATGCAGCTACTGGGATGCTATTTTAAAAAGGAAAGACGTGAACCCAGTTTTACATGAGAGCGTGTACTATTTATTTGCCCAGGAAAGTATAATCCCTTGAGAGTGATGTAAGCAGCATCTTACTCTGAATAGGAAGACTGAATTTCAGAAGAACCATTGAGTCCTTAAACTCTGTTAACTACGCAAAACGTTAAAAATCATTAAAAATGAAAACTAATTTTTAAAGGTAAAAAGTACCTTAAAACCTACTTAATGATCTATTTTCTTAGCAATTATTTTTAAAAAGAGTTTTCAAAAGAATAATTCTTCACTTAAAGAAACCTTACTTTTCCACATGAACTCATTCACATCCCCACCGCTCCTGAGCAGGAAATGTGGATAGCAGAGGACCGTGAACTTATTTTAGGCTACTCTCAAGACATGGAAAAAAAAGGAGAAGAAAATGGAGTTTTCAAAAACAGCCTCATCTGGCCCTAACTCCCTCTTTTTATATTGTTAAGAGCTTACAGGGTCTTCTGTAACCCATGTCTCCTACCCACCATATTCTCATGGTATATAAGGCCCTGGAAGAAAATCAGACAGGCAGAAGAGAAAAAAATAAGTAAAATATGGCTGCATGGTCTTCAAAAGTTGTGAGATCAGAGCGCTGCTTCCCCACCTTATTAAAATTAATTATACCAAAATGGATTATCTGACAACTACATCATTATGAGACTGCTTCTAACTCTAAGGCACAGACATTTAACAGCATCATGTAATATAAGAGATTTTAATTAAGCTGTGCCATGAGGCAAAATATGCACTTACCTTTATTTTCTTCCGATGCTTTATTTTGGGTACATTTTTATCAGCAGGTCTTACTATTTTATCTGCTTTAATCCATTCATCATACCTAAAGTTAAAAGAAATGAATATAAATATGCAAAATACATACTAAAAATAGTACACACAACACATTTAAGAAAAAAGTTTATTGCTAACACCTTCCTATCTTAGAACTGGAAAGGACCTTAGCAATCATTAACTCTTGTCTCCTTGTATGATGAACAGCTACCAAGGCCTGAGGAGACAGGAAATGACAATGCCAAAGGCACAATATTAACTAAATGTTAGCACCTCTTAATCTGGTATACTAAAAATAAATGCATACAATAAACTTTACAAAAAAACAACCAAGTCTTCTATATTATGTGATTTCTACTTTCTTTTTAAGCAGCAGGTGGTAATTTTTCCTCTAAATATATATATCAGTAATTTAAAGAAATAAACTATAGTTTTAAATGGCATTATGTAGTAGAAAGGCACCTGATTCATGTATGGTTGATGCCAGTTCATCCAGAAAGGAATGACTGCTTAAAATACTAGAGAACATTTCTTGGCAAAGTTCTTCCGTATTGAACAAAAACTCTACAAACACCACGACCACAGCCCCCGAGTTGACTGCACCTCACTGGGACCCAGTGTGTTACATGGTAGAACGTGGAGCTTCTCAGATGTAGGGTACTACAGGCTAAGCACTGGACTGCTAATGGAAAGGTCTGTGGTTTGAGCCCCTCAGCTGCCCTACAAGAAGAAAATGAGGCGCTGAGCTACTGTAAAGAGTTGCCATTTGAAAATTTTACGGAGCAGTCCCACTTTGTCCCATAGGGCTGCTGCGTCAACACTAAGTCCACAGCAGTGGGCGAGCCTTCTGGAAGCAGCACTCCAGCCAGATCTCTCTTTCACAGTGCTGCTGGAGGGATGTGAACCACCAATCTTTAGGGAGAGCAGTCCAGCACAGTCTGTACCACCCAGGGGCCCTCTTGGTATCCTGAGGAGCTTTATACACACCAAACTGGGTTGCTCTCTCTCCCTCTTCCTTCACTGCTAACTGCGCATACCACTGAAGGTTACATACGGCAATCAAGATGTCAGCATAAAACATAAAAGCAATATCGGTAGGGGTTCCACTACAAAGAAGCACTTTTAAAACACTTGTTATTGATGACAATGTGGAATTGTGCATGTGTCTATAATGGAAGATTGTCTATTTAACTATATTTACCTTTGCTGTCGGTAACTCATGTGCATTTTTAAAAGAATCAGCTAGGAGCTTTAAATCAGTATAGCAACCGACCCGAGCCATTATCTCGTCTGCCTGCTCATGCAATGCTGTGTGACTCACTCATACTCACAGCCGACCCCCACTGCCTTGAGCGGTTGGACATCATATAGGAGGAGACTGCCCATCGTTCCTTACGACTGCTGGGGCTGCGAGCTTCTAGAGGGGCAGCTTTTGACTTAGCAGCACACTGCTGCGCCAGTCAGGGCCACCCTTGTTGGAGGGTAAGCCTGGAAAGTCTGGCCAGCACCCCTGGGCAGGATGACCAAAGCAAACTATAGTCGCCACAAAAGCCAAAGCCTTGGGCCTCCCTGTGGAGCTGTGCTGGGGCTGGCTGCTGCAGGAAGCTGACAGGCTTGGACAGACAGGCGAGAGAAGCATTTCTAAGAACTCTACCAGTCGTGATGTGGTCTTGGCTTACTAATGGGCAAGTTATCATCAGGCCTCGCCTAGAAACGAACACTGACTGCATGTGGCTTCCTGAGACTCCAGTGACAAACTTGGAAACAAACACTGTTATCTTACAGAAGTACTTCTCTCCTACTAAACACATTCTGATCCAGGATTAAATGAAACACCAGCATCTGTCTATATTTTCACAGTACATTTATCTTTCTCATCAACACCTTTAAAAAAACTGCATTCAAGAAGAAAGCCATTTATTTCCTTCTCAAATGGGGGAGATGGCGAAGAACGAAGGTCTGCTCTCTGCAAGTTCAGAAATCAATCCACTTGAGTGTGGTTATGGAAAGAAGTCAATGATCCCAACTTCAAGATGAAATACAACCGAGTTCCTTGTTTTTTTCCCCCTTATTACAGGATTAGCTGAGGTATTAATAAAGGTCACATACAACACTGATGTACACAAAAGAAAGGCATTCTTACTAACAGCAGAATAAAATCCACTCAGGTCAATTATGTGTTTGACGTAACTACAATTTTAAATTCTAGTAAAATACTGGTTTACACTTTAAGGCTACAACCACCATTCTGTACATATGCTTTACACAGAGCACCAACAAGCAAAACGTAACTACTGACCTCACTGGTAAAATTTTTAGGTCACTGACTGAAGATAATTTCTTTTTTGTATGTGTGTACCATCTGGCAAAGAAGGAAATTACCCCTCCTTCTCCAGCAGAGTATCTGGTGAATTTGAACCACGCCCCTCTGGGATTGCAGTGCAGCTTCTTGCCATGAGAATTTCTTTTTCAAAGTGATAAATGCTATTTTAACTATTTCAGAAACAAGGTAAGAGAAATATACACATAAATAATAATGGGTGCTCCATGGTAATAGATTTCTACTCTAACAATTAGGTGATTAATAAAAGCAGGTTATAAGAGAGAGGTAAGCAGACAGTATGTTAAGTGGAAAATGTATAAAACAAAGTATCCTAATAATTCTAAAATATGAGAGTAATAATAATATAAACACATTATTCTGTCCTTATATTTTGAATGGTCTTTATGTTTTGGAAATCAATTCTATTTTTAAATTCTTATCAGATATTCTGTATGAGTTAAAGAAATTCCTTATAATATCTGTTGGTATGTTTTGTTGGAAATAATCACACGGTAACTCAGGATTCTATAGTAAATGACCTACTATTAATATTAAGAGTCTTTATTTGCCTTCTTTCTAGTCTACTTCATCTATGCCATTTTTTTGTTGTTATTCAGGCATTCTCTTGTTACGACAGTATCCTTTAATGTTTTTCTTTCCTTAGCCACATTTAGATTTTCTACAAAATGTAAAATTTCTGTCATTATAATTATTAGCCTATGAGTCTAGAAGGTGTCTTAACAATTTAGCAGTGAACAGATTTACATCAGAGTGAACTGAACTTGCAAGTAAGAAGAGCTTGTCAATAAGCAGTGTATGGAGATTCAGTGAAGAATAGGAAAGGGGCCACTCTTAAAACTGCACCACCAGCATGAAGACTTAAGGTAAACAGGGCACCTCACCCCCTTTGCAAGCACAATTGGTGGTGGTGCTAAGTGTCCTTGAGTGGGTCTGGCTCGGACTGGCCCTCTGTACAAAAGACCAAAGCCCTACCCCACACTGCACATCCTCACACAGAGGAAAAGCAGCAGGCCAGGAATGAGACAGCCTCATTAAAAATGCACACCTTAAATCTGTGATTAGAGAGAAGGGTCAAAACAAGTGTCTAAGAACACTGGTTCAAAGAGTTTTCACAAGTTACAAATCCCCTTAACAAATATGTATTAAGAACTAATGAAAAAAAAAAAGAACCAATGATACAAACATACTGGCAGGCAAATGTTTCAAAACTAAATGAAGTTTTAAACAGGGCTTTGGCTGCTATTAAAATTGGACAAGTTTTAAAAAAATGCATTAAAAACTAACAGCTGTATGTAAACTCTCTATATATTAATATAGGAAATATTCTTTCTGCTATGTAGCTCATTAGAATCAACATGTTCTATTGTCTTTAGAACCAATTAGAACATTGTTCTAATTGCCACAGACTTGTCTATCAGTTTGCTGTTCTGAGATCACTTGTGGGTTGTAGTGATACTAAAAGCTATGCCACTGGTGTATCAAATGCCACAACAGTTACCCATGGTGGACAGGTTTTAAAAGAGCTCCGAGAATAAGACAGACTAGGAAGTAGAATTGGTCCTCTACTTCTTAAATAATAGGCCTCTGAAAACCCTATGAATAGTAGAGAAACACGGATAGTTACAGAAATAATGGGATAGTCCAGCTTGAAAGTCAGTCAAAATGAGGAAAATAAATGGCAAACACTGTTTAATAACTGGAATACTGAATGTAAGTAGCTTGAATGTTGGAAAACTAGAAATTGTGAAAAATGGAATTCATGAACACCAACACACTAGGCATTAGTGTGGTAAGATAGACTAGCTTTGGTCATTTTGAATCTGATAATCATATGGTATACTATCCTGGGAATAAAAAACAAAAGAATGGTGTTGCATTCATAGTAAAAAGGTTAATTTCAAGTTCTATCCTGAAACACAATGTTGAGTGATAGGATATTATCCATATGCATACAAGAAAGACACTTATTATCATATATGACTATTATTCAAATACACACTCCTTCATCTAGAGCCAAAGAGGAAGAAACAGAAAATTTTTACCAAATCTTGCAGTCTGAAATTGACTGAATATGCAAGACGCATTAATGATAATTGGTGGCCAGAAAATTTTTACCAAATCTTGCAGTCTGAAATTGACTGGATATGCAATCAAGACGCATTAATGATAATTGGTGGCTAGAATGCAAAAGCTAGAAACAGTGAAGAAGAAACAGTAAGGGGAGCTCTGGTGGCCTAGTGGCAAGAAACTGCACTGCAATCCCAGAGATATGCGGTTTGAATCCACCAGATGCTCTGCCGGAGAAAGAGGGGTCATCTCCTCCTTTACCAGTCAGATCCAATTTGATGGTACACACACAAAACAATAAAATAAAAAAAGAAAAAAAAAAGAAACAGTAAATTGGAAAATACAGGTTTGGTGACAAAAGTAAGACTGCAAATAGAATGAGCAAAATTTGTATTTTCAATGACCTACTCATTGAAAACACCTATTTTAAAAGATAAAAATGAAAAAAAAAAAAAGATAAAAATGGCAACGTTACACGTGGATCTGACCTGATGTGCTGCATAGGAGTCAGACTACATCTATGGAAGGAATCTTTCAAGAAGCTCAGTATCAGTAGTCAGAACTAGGCTGGGGCAAACTATAGGTTAGATCATCAAGCACGTATGAGCAAATTCAAATTGAGGCCAAAGAAGATTAAA